AATAAACATCATGGTAATGTGGTAGGCAGATCTCAAAGACCTGCCCAAGTGTGCTCTTGGACAAAGTCAGAAGAAACAAGAAGGCAGAGTTTGTGGTAGAAGCCTGAGGGACAAGTGGAGGGGAAAGTTGAAGCATGACCTTTCCTTGGCCCAGCTCATTCCCAATCAGGAGAGCATTTGAGAGTATCTAGCTAATAATAAATACTGTTTTCCTGGGGCCAGAGGGAGGCCCCCTTGATGTGAGGGAAAGGACACTTGAGTCTGGGGACCCGTCTCCATCAGTCAGAGCTATACTCCACAAAGGGCCAGCAAGTGGGCCAAGGCCAGTGGTAGATAAATAGCCCAGAATAGGGAGATATGGTTCAAGCCTTCCTGCCCACATGAGAGAGAGAGTAGAGAGAGTAGCCCTCTCTACTCTCAGGAGATCTATTTCCAGCCTTCTACTGCAGCAGGGAACTGGTAGCTGGAGAGTATACCTGGGGCTCTAACAACTGTTTTTTTTAAAGACAGGGTCTTGCTGTGCAGTTTAGCCTGGCCTAGAATTCACTTTACAGTTTAAAACTGGCCTTGAATTTGCAGTGATCCTTCTGCTTCAGCTTCCTGAATGTTGGGATTACAGGTGTGCCCCACCACATCTGGCTTCTAACAACTTCTTACACAGACTAGACTTTCAACCAATCATTTTCAGAGAAGCTTCCACATCCAGAAAGAACTTGCTTCCCAATCCTCTTCTTGGATGCGAGTTTTGCAAGTGTAATTCACCACTAAAAACAGAAAAGACATCAAGACCTGGGTTCTGAGATGTCAGTGTCAGTCACTATTAATGAGAGAGAACGTCTGACCTAATATAAATTGACCTCTCCATCTGTCACTGGGTAGTAGGAAGAGATGTTTCACCATATAGGATAATATTTTTGGTGTTGTTGTAGCAGTTATTTCCCAACTGGATATATCTAAGGATAGGGAAATGTGTCAGTAGGCATTGGTCAATCAATAGTGAATACATAGATACCTGGATTTTTATGAATGGGAAGATTTTAAAACATGATTACAAATGAGATAAATATCAATGATGGTTATTTCTGAATGGAAATATTTTATAAGAGAGCTTATCAGTGGGAGCATTTCTGATGGACAAGTATGAATGGAGAGTTTTAGCATTCTTGGTAGATAATGAGGAGATGTGCCAGTGGGTCAAAATTTGCAATGGGAAGATTTGCCAATACATAGAGTTTGTCCTGATTATGATGTTTTAGAAAGATACTCATAGAGATTTGTTAGCTGGAGGGATGCCACCAGGCAGGTAGTTGTGAAGAGAGATACTTGAGCTGGGATCCCTCAGCAGACAATAGAGTGCTGCTGGATATTTATGAATGGCATGATTTGTCAGTGCATGTTATCACTGGGGAGATGGCACTGGAATATTCATGAACAAAATGTTTCTTCATGGGGTATTTGTGAAAAGGGATTTGTCTCAGTGAAGAGATGGGACTAATCAAAGGAAAGATTTACCAAGGGCTTAGGGATTTGTCATCTGGAGTCTTGGAAACAGTAGAGATTTATAAAAGCAGAGATTTGTCCACAATGAGGACGGCATATGGGGAATGTTATCATCTGGTTGGGAGATATATTTCCTTAGAAGTAATCTAAAATGTTGGTATTTGTGATGGGATTTGCACACTGGTCAGCAGTTATAAGCCTCACCATAATAAAAATATTAAAAATAAGTATATTAAATATTTTTAACATCTCTGGAGTGATTATCATGATCATGAGTTTTATATGAAGGGTTCTAGAGTGCATGAAATCACTGCTACTAATTTCCATTATTTATAACATTTTATTTTATTTCTGATAGCAAATGTTATTTGCAGCTGGGCATGGTGGCACATGCCTATAATCCTAGCACTCGGAAGGCTGAGGCAGAGGATTGCTGAGAGTTTGAGGCCAGCCTGGGCTATATAGTGAATTTAAGGCCAGCCTGAAATGCATAGTGAGGCCCAGTCTCAAAAAAATATTTTTCAACATTACATTACTCATTACTAATGAAAATTGCCATTGCTACAATTGCACATTTGATTATATTGACTATAACTACTATTTATAAGTGCTACATGCCTAGCATAGTTCTAAGCACCTTATATCTACTACCTCACTCAATACACACATTATCCTTATGAGTTAGGCATAATTTTAGCCCTGTTTTACACATGTGGGAACTGAGGCACAGAAGGGCATATGATTTTTTCCAAGGACACAGACTGAGGACATGGCAGGGGCCAGATTTGAATGCAAATGACCTGGCTACAGGGTTCGTGTTCTTAACCAGTATACAACACTGCCTGTATAGAAATTAATTTATTTTTAGTAATATTGCACATTAAGCTATTTTTATGAGAGTGTCCTGGTTTTTGTCATTTTTGCTGTTTGCGGTACTGGGGATGGAACTCAGGGCCTCACACATGCTAGGCGAGTGCTCTACCACTGAGCCACATCCTCAGCCGGAGTTTCATGTGTGTTTTGACCTGAAAAATATCTTAGAGGTAAATCTACCTCTTAATCATTCTCCAACCCTAGAAGAGACTAGGTCTGAAGGACTCTGAGTAGGGACTGTGGTACCTACATTTTAGGAAAAGGACTGTGGTACAGGAGAGGGAAGGCGGGTGCCCAGATTACCCACTGAACTGGAGCCCATGCTGTACACCTCAGTAGCTGCAACCACATGTGCTTCCTCTCAACTATCACAAAAGTTCTAATGAGACTGATACACAGACACACCAAATGTTGGAGAGTGTTTACTTGCATGGGTTTTCTATGAAGTGGTGGGGGATGTGGCCATCCTAGAACTAAGTTCCTTCTGGGTGTGGTGGCTCATGCCTATAATCCCAACACTCGGGAGGCTGAGGCAGGAGGATTGTTGCAAGTTCAAGACCAATCTGAGCTACAAAGTGAGCTCAAGGTCAGCCTGAACTACATAGTGAGACTCTGTCTCAAAAAGACTGAAAAACAAAAATAACTATAGTTCCTGCCAAGAGTTTATGCTGAGTCTCAGGAAGAGATAGCGTTGAGCCCTGTTCTGGTCTCTCTGTGCCCTGAGGGACTAGACATGCCTGCTTACGTTCACCAGATCTGAATGCAGAGCCCCTCCTGCAGTATGGACAGATGAGCAGAATGGCCTCCATGCTGGGTTCTGTCTTTCACCTGCTATTTTCTACTTTACCTTCTTCCCAGGGGTAGGGTGGCTAGGGCTCAGGGCATGGGCCTTGAAGTCAGGGAGCGACTAAAGAGTGTAAGGAACTAATGTTAGGGTTTGGTGAGTTGTCGGGAGTTTCTGAGGTCCTGCAGGCTGCTGAGGGACCAAAGGGTGCCCATGTTTTCTTCCCCTGCAGTTGTACCCACCAGCGAAGCCTGCCATTTTCCCCTTTTGATGGGCAGAGTTCTGATCTCCCAGGCAAAACCAAGGTGTAAATGTTGCTGCAGACATTGTTGGTCTACCTCTGAGCCACCTGGGTGTTCCCTTTTCAGGGGAATAAATATTGGTTGCTCAAATACTGCCCATCCTGATCTGGGTCATAACTTGAACCTGCCGAAATCTCCAAGGAGTGTAGAATGCTGTGGAGCAGGACTACATAGGATCCAGGGAGCCACACTTGGTGACCTAGAATGCTCTGGAGGAGGCCTGGTTTAACTGCCACGGGGTAGTCTGATGTGACGGATTTGGGGGGGGGGTCCTTTTTTTCATCAAAGTCAACATACTGGATCTTTCCTAAAGCAGATTCAGATCAATAGGGCACTTGTGTGTTCCACTGAGAGTTTGTCTCAATCTTTTTTTGCGGGGGTACTAGGAATTGAACTCACAACCTCACACTTGCCAGACTCAGTCCCCAGCACTATCTTGATCTTGAATTGTGGTTCTCAGTAATATCATTTGAGTCAGGACCTTCAGAAAATCAAGAGCAGGATCCAGGGACCGGAAAGGGCTAGAGAGGCCTAGGCCTAGCAGGGGAGCAGAAAGGCCAGGAAGAGGGTGTTTGGAGGGTCTCTTGCTTAGGTTTTATGGGGGAATATGAGGTTTAGGTAGAGAAATCCCAGTTTAGGTAAAAGGAGGCATGTATAGGTATAGGCTAGTGTGTGCATGGGTGATTCTAATTTTGAACCCCACCTGCATTCACTGTGGTCAGACTTTCCTTCAGGGTTAGTCAGTGAGGGAAGGAGAGAGCAAGAGCAGGGCAGAGCCTTGGGATTTTAGGATCATCCCTTCTCTCCATCCTACCTACTTCTATGCCTCAAAACCCCCTGCTAATGGAAACTCCCATTTGGAGTTCATAACAGGTTAAATGGCCATGACTAATGTTGAAGATGGCCAGCTCTATGGGTATTGTGCAAAGGCTAGCTCTTCTTCCTGAGGAGTCCAGCCAGGGGTTACATGGGAGCATCTGCATCCCCTCTTGTCATGGTACAGAACCTAAGGGTAGGGACAGTAGGTTTGGATGGGGCATCCTCACTGGACATTAGGACAAGGACTGAGGCAAAGTTTTCTAATTGATGGGACATGTATCAATGAATTTGTCAACTGAGATTTGTGAATAGGGGGATTTATAGCCATGGGATAACTTATTAATGGGAGAGCCCTGGGCAAACAGGAATTAGAAACTACTGCAGTAAAATATTTTAAAGTACTGACTAAAGTATTCAATGATTTGGAGTTCATAACAGGTTAAAGGGCCATGACTGATGTTGAAGATGACCAGCTCTAATTCTTATGATCAGATTATTACTAGTACATCAAATTTTATATAAAAAACTCAACATCTTTTTCCCCATCTTGTTGGGGGAAGGAACCCAGGGCCTCATCCATACTAGGCAAGTGCTCAACCAATGAGCTACAGCCCCAGCCCCCAAATCCAACATCCCTCTTGCCCTTCCCATTAGCCCATGGTGCTCCTGTCAGGTTGGCGGTGACATGGGTTTGTTCACCGGCGCTACACAGAGACAGTGTCTGCTAAATGACAATTCTTTTATTTCACCATTTGGGGGAAAGAGAGTGGAAAGGAGTAAACACCATGAAAGCTTCAGGTGCCAGAAGGGGTAAGCTTCATTCAGTGTGTCTTGGTCCGTAGAGACTGCCAGGTGCACATCCCGGATTCCTGTGGCAGGCAAGCAAGGTGGCGGCTCTGGAAGCCCTTGTCAGAACCACTCAGGAGCATGTCTGTCCATAAGCAGTGAGTGTCGCTCAACAATTTGCAAGGGATAGATGAACAGGGAAACACCTAGAGGAGAAAGGAGAAGCCTGCTGAGGATTTGGTCTCCCTCTTCCTCTTCCATGGAGAATTTTCTCCTCAGCTTGTAGCATGGAGCTGTTCAGAACTGGTGTCACCCCACCTGGGTTCAGATCCAAGAAAAGCCCATTGGAGAAACAGCAAGGGAGCATGCAAGGCCTTGGAATGGTAGTGTGGTGTTCTAGGGTATTCTCCCTTTGGAGAGAACAATGGGGCTCTGAGGCAGAGCCACCAAGGAACAGTGCTGGAATAGCCAGAAAGTCACTGTAATGCTTCCTGGTGTCTGGAGTAGTCAGAGCTGCAGAGCATCCATGAACTATACCGGGAAGAGTCAGTAGGTTTGGGGAAAAGCACTTTGGCTTCCTGGAGAACATTCTAAGGAAATAAAAATCCCAGGGTGTCAGAAAAAGACAGTGGGATTACAGAATAATCACAAGGGAGAGTTAGAGGGACAAGGGAGAAGGTTCAGGGAACAGGCAACAAGAAGTTATCAGGTACAGAACAAGGAAACAACCAGGATTCCTCAGGCTGCAGTCTCAGTCTTGGGGGACTAGCCAGAGGGATCATGGATACCCCTGGGGATCGAGAAGCAGTCAAAATAACAGTCACCGAAAGAACAAGCCTGTGGTTTCAGGTACAGTCCCAAGAACAGTCTCCAGGCAGAGGATCTCAGAGCCCAGGCACTCACTGTGCATGCCCCACAGCCAGCAGAGTAAGTCTTGGTGACGCCCTTCTGCTGAGAGGAGGACAGACTGTGCCAGGGAACCACGAAACTGCAGGTGGTGACATGCAAGTTGCCGGCTCGCAGTTGTCCTGGGAGGGGAGAAAACCACAGGCAGCCTTTGATTGGCTGGGCCCAGGGCCTGGATAGCCCCTGATTGGTGCCAAGGACATACAGACCCCTGCTCTGTTCTTGGCCTCATAGGCTGAAATTGGATCGGCCCCTACCCAGCCTCGCCCCCACCCGGTTGCTAGGCAGCGTCCTTGGACAGATTGGCTTGGCCCAGGGTGAGGGGGCGGGGCCTCACCAGCGACGAGAAACTCCTCACTGCGGTTCTGGGACGGGTGGAAGTACCCGCAGAGGCTCTCCATGGCGGGGGTGTAGAGGAACCGGATGTCGTTGGCATGTCCCAAGGCATCCGATCCTTTGAACATCTGTTGACAGATGGGAAGAGTCCTCTTTTACCGACATATTCCTCCCACTCCAAGTTCTTCCCTTAAGTCATATACCCAAATCCTGACTTCACTGACTTTCCACACCACTCATGTCCAGAAATTTCTATTTTGAGAAGCAGGAAGAGGTTAGGGAAGACTAGGGAGGGGATACGGAGGTAGATACCTTGGTCACTTTGATCTCATAACGCTTGTGAAAGGTGGTCATGTTGATTGCTGTGGTTCCCATGAACTTGGCCCTTATGACTACCGAGGAGGAAGGAGAAAACGCATCAATTGGGGGATGTGAACAAATAAAAATAATCATCATAATAAAAACACACCGGCAAATCAGGATCACCGAGTGTCCTACAGCACACTAAGCAATTCACACAACTGCAAATTGATTCATCTATCTAGTGTCTATTCTTTGCCTGACACTGCTTTAAGCCTTTTTCATATATTCACTTGACACTCAATACTTTGGAGTGCCTACTGTATGCTAGGTGCTGTTCTGGGTGTTAGGGATGTAACAGTGAGCAAAACACAGAAATGCCTTCCCTTGTGGAGCTTACCTTCTAGCCAAGAGGAGATAGACTACAGATAAATATATGGGACAGTAGAAGATATGAAGTGTGATGGGGAAACAAAGCTAAATGAGGGGGTGACAAAAATCTTTGCTTTACCATTTTAGTCAGGCTCCTGAACCTTTTTCCAGACCCACCCATGTACTTTTCATTAGATCCAGTAATAGCAAAAAATCCTGCTAAATCAGTGTACTGAGAATTCCCCAGCCCATCTAATTGCTTTCAGTATCTGAAGAGGTTCCTTATCTCCCAGGGCTGTCTTCAGCAGGAATCCTATTGATTTGTTTAATTATAATATCTTTTACTCCTGATGTTTCCTTTTAGTAATTTTTCATTCACTGACCCCCACGCTGCTCCTTGACTATAGATCCCCACTTGCCCCTGCTATCTTGGAAGTTGAGCCCAATTTTTCTCTCCCTCCTACAACAAAATCTCATTGCCGGGCTAGGGATTTAGCTCAGCGGCATAAGCACCTGCCTTGCAAGCAGGCAGTTGTGAGTTCGATCCCGGGTACTGATAAAAAGGAAAAAGACAAAAAAAAAAATCTCATTGCCTCGGGCCCTCTTAACTACCTAGCTGGTCCTGAATAAAGTCTGCCTTACCATGCCTTAACAAGTATCACTGAATATTTCTCTTTAACAGCAATCCAGAGTACTAGGGGTTGGCTGGGGATGTAGCTCAGCGGCATAAGCACCTGCCTGGTAAGCACAAGGTCCTAAATTTGATCCCCGGTACAAAAAAATAAAACAAGAACAACAACAAAAACAAAATGAAACAAGAGTACTAGGAAGCAGGGATTAAAATTTTAAAACAGGAAGGCCATTGGAGAGGATGACTTTTAGGCAGCCTCCTATCTGTATATGGATACCTAGAGGGAAGTGTGTGCTGGGCAGAGGGAGCAGCCAGCACCAAAGTCCTGAGGAGGGTTTGGGCCTAATGTAATCATGAATATCTGAGGAAGCCAGTATGGCTAAAGCAGAGTTTGCAGCACCAAGTATGGGCAGAGAAGGACCAGACTCACCGAAGTCAGAGTTGCAGAAGGCTGTCTGCGGGTGGGGTGAGGCACAGGTGCAGGCCCTGCTGGTGTCTATCAGTGACAGCAACAACAGGATGCCAGAAGCCAGGGGCACAAAGGGGGCCATGGTGGATTCTGCTGGGGAAGGAAGGGTCAAAGGCAGCCCCCAGATAAGCTGATCTGCCCATCTGGTGATTCTGGGGGAGAGGGTACTAGATTTGGGGTTGGGGAGTCTGAGGATTTTAAGGAGGTTGGAGAGCCCAGAGAAGTTTAGGACTTTTGAGAAAAGGTCTCGCTATGCAGTTCAGGCTGGCCTTAAACTCACTATGTAGCCCAGGCTGGCCTGAAGCTCCTTGTGATGCTCCTGCCTCAGCCTCCTGAGTGCTGGGATTAGAGGCGTGTGCCACCATGCCCAGCAGAGCTTTTAAAGAGTTGGGAGAGTTTGGGGCTGTGTGGAGTTTGGGTGCTTTAAGGAAATTGAAGGATTATAGAGCTCTAGGCAACTGATGAACAAGGTGGCTGGGAAGTTTTAGGATTTAAGGGGCTTGGGGAAACCCGGAGGTTGAAGAGTTTGAGGGTGAGAAATTTAGGGTCTGGGGGAACTGGAGGAATTTGGAGAGATTAAGAGTATAGGAGTTGTGCATATTAAGAGATACAGAATATGCGAGATTGAAGATTGAGGAATTCAAAGGAGTTGGTTTAGGGAGTTGGGGGAGTTTGGGGATTCAAGGGGTAGGACAGTTGGGGTTCTTAAGGGGATGACTATTTGAGGAATTTGAATGTAGAGGAATTTCTGAGGTTTAAGGAGTTGGAGACTGAGGACTTAAGGGAGCCACAGGGGTTTTGGGTAAGGCGTTAGGGGGCAATAGGGGAATCTGGAGGAGTTGGAAGGTTGGGAGGCCTTCGTGGTATTAGTTATGGGTTTGGGGCAGTTAGGTATGGATGCTAGAAGTTCAAAGGATTTGGGGGTATTGGAATTGGGGAAGCAATTCTGCCTCGCACCCTCGTTCCCTCACTCCCCATGACCAGCCCAGGGTCCTCATTCCCGCAGATCAGGTTGAGCAGCCCGGCATCTGGCACAGGACTGGACTGGCCTGGTAGCGCGCACACAGGTTTCAGGCCAGCCCAGCCTTGCCGGGACACCCAGATCCCCGCTCACCTCCGGTGTGTCTCTAGGCGCGGAATCTGCGGCGATGGCGGCAGGGCCGGAGCAGGAGAGGATAAATGTCCACGCGAGAGGGGCGGGGTTGGCGCGGAAATCACAGGCCTCCAGGCTTCCTGGATGCATTACTCATCCGCCCACCCCAGCACAAGAAGCCTAGGGGCGGGCCGAGGGTTGCCCAGAGGAGATCCACCCGCCTCCCCAAATGCGCGCCAGCCCGCCGCGCCCCCTCCCCCAGCTCCACGTTGTGCGTCCGCCCAAAGATGTCAGGCCAGCTGTCCCGAGGATCTCCAAAGTCTCTCCCACCACCTACCTCCTCCAAATTTTCCTTGGTTTAAGCCTGAAACAGTTTGTTTCTTTAACATTTATTGTGCATCTATTCCATGCCGACCCCAGATGTGTCTGACTTTCTGCCGAGGGGGAGGCAAATTCAGTAGAGCAGCGGGGGAGGAGATAGCTGAGGCAGGTCAATGTGGGTGGGACACAATGTGGGTTAACTGAGGCACGAAATACAGTAGGTGATTATCCAAGATCAACAGAGTTAACTAATGGCAGACCTGGGACTGGTGTCAGGTGGCCAGGAGCCTTGGTCAAAAAACTCTTCTCAAAAAAAAAAAAAAAAAAAACAGGCAAGACTAATGGGTGCAGCTCAGTAATAGATCCCTGGTCTAGCCTAGTGAGGGTAAAGCCCTGTGTTTCATCCCCAGACCTGGAAAAAAATTGCCAGCATTTATATAGTGGCATTCGGCATAATTTATCTCAAAGCTCACAACAGCTGAGGACAAGGTTGCACATCTATAGTCCCAGCACTCAAGAGAGGAAAGAACATATCAAGTTCCTTGGGCTACATAGGAAAGCCTATTGAAAACTCCAACATCAAAAGGTTCGCAGCAAGCCTCTAAGGTGGGAACCCATCTTATGAATGAGGAAATATGAGACATAGAGAAGTTGAAGGGGGTCACAGAGCATGGCATGACTGGGATTTGAGTAAACTAAGCTAACTGGCCTTGAGATCCTAACCCAGGTCTAGCACCGTCCTGGCAAGCAAGGGAAGGGGCTAGATGGTGGCGAAAGAAGTAGTGAGTCAATAGAAACCTGATCCCTACCCCATCCTGCCCTGCCCCTTCCCCACTAAAGGTCCCACAGCCCTAGTGGGGGTGGCATGATGCAAGTGATGCTGGCTTCCTGTCCTCGTGGGAGTACCCTCTGGGGTCCTGCCAAAGAGTTCTGAGGGCTGATTAGCTTCCTTGGTTATTTCAGAGGACAGACCAAGAATGATGATGAGGATAGTGATGACAGCAGCTACTTATTAAGCTCTTACTGTGTACTGTGCACTAAGAAGGTCTTTGTGTAAATTATGTCGTTCACTGTCAACTTCCCACTTGCCAATTAAGCTTGATTAACTTGGGGAGGTTGGCTCAATAACCAGGGCCCCACAATAAAAACTACCAGCCAGCACTTATGGTCTGCTAAAGCCTTTATGTTGTATATTATCTCTTTCATCTAATCTTAGTGTTCTCTTTGTTCATTAATGTTAGTTCATGAAGTGGGGCATGGTGGTACACACCTGTAATAGCCACACTTTGGGAGGCCAACGCAGGAGGATTGCAAATTTGGTCCCATCCTGGGCAGTTTAGTAACTTAGAAGCACTAGTCTCAAAATTTAAAGTAAGGGGGCTGGGGATCTGGCTCAGTGCTAAGACCCTGGGTTCAGTCCCCAATAAGACCACCACCACCACCACCAAAAAAAAAGTTTTTACTGAGTTTTTTTTTTTTTTTTTTGTCTTTTTCATTTTTATCAGTACCGGGGATCGAACTCATGACTACCTGCTTGCAAGACAGGCGCTTATGCCGCTGAGCTAAATCCCCAGCCCCTAAAAAAAAGTTAATGAAGGGATATTAAACCAATAATAATAATAGTATCTAATACTTTCTGAGGATTGACATTTACTGTGTGCCAGAGATTCTGTGCTAAGCGGGTTTTTTTTTCCTGAAACACTGACTAATCCCTCAAATCCCTGTGAATTACATAGTATTCTTATATCCCTCATATCCCTATTGCATACCATTCTTCTCTTCCCCACACCCCTGTGAATTCCACACCATTCTTATTCTCATAAACAGACAAAGCAGGGTAAAGTGGCTTGCCCAGGAATGAGAGTGAAGAAACAGCTGTTGGGAGAAGCAATAAAACCTTGGAAAGGAGAGAGGGAAGCACAGATTTGGAGAAGGTGATTGTGAAAGTAGGGGATTGAGACTGGACTAGATGGGGCTGAGTAACTCAGTGTAGTGGTGGGAGAAAGGCAGAAGTAAAAACAGGGCAAGTCCTATCTCTGGCACTCACTAATCTTGCTTCTGACGCTAGCTCAAATTCTCAAACCTGAGTCAGCACAGAATTTTGCCAACTGTTTGTAAGTGAGAAGTTATGTGGATCCAAGTTTGGGAAAGGGTAGAGATGAGCCCCATGGAGGGGTGTTTGGGTCTGTGACCATCTGAAGAGCTGGATAGAGTGGGACACTGGGGACCAGCTGGTATGTACAAAGCAGATACCTGATAATCTCCACATGATGTGCCAAGTGCTGGGCCTGATCATGCCCTTTATACAGATCAAGAAACTGAGGCCCAGAGAGAGTTTAAGTTACATATCTGTGGTGCCACATGACCTTAGGAAGAGGAGAAGCAAAAATTCAAGTCTAAGATCTGGGCATGGTGGTGAATGCCTATAGTCCCAGCTACTCAGGAGGCTGGGACAATAGGATTGCTTGAGTCCATGAGTTCAAGACTAGCCTGGACAACATAAAATGGCCCACATATCAAACAAACAAATAAAGAAACAAAAGTTTCAAGCCTAGGAGTCTCCCAGGGATCCCAAGTTCCCTGCTCATACAAATGGGTGGTCATGGACATATACAGATCCAGGGTGACATTCAGACTTGGGTCCAGAGGAAGTAAAGAAAGACTTAGAAACCTCAACAGATGTGTGTGTCTGTCTGTCTGTCTGTCTGGTATGTTTCTGTCTCTAGAAGTGGCATGTGTGCCCCTTAGTGTGAATTTCCCTTCCTGAGAGTTGGGAATATGGCCAAGTGTATTATGTGTGATTTCTATGGGTTCCTTATGTGATCCTAAGTGTGATATTCACCTCTGTGCGCTGTGAGTATACTGCAGTGATATGTCACATACACACGCACACCTTGGCCCTGTTTGCTTGGCATATCGCCTAAAGAACTCTCCCTCCCCATCCCCAAGATGACGCCAGTCATTTGGGAAATGAGGAAGGGGAGGTGCAAAGAGAGGATGAGGACTGACGGTCAATCAGTCATCCTGAGTCTGCAAGCTTCCTGTACATGTCGGAAACCAGGAACTGCCCCCACCCCAGCAGCCTGTCTGGGAATGTCATCTCTCTACCCTGTCAGCCAGACACACGGGCCCTGCGTGTGCACCCGTGCTGTGACGTTGTGACAGGCTGGGATCTTCCAACCCAGTTTCTCTTCCCCACCCAGCGCATAGGGAGACTAGAGATATTCCATTTGCCTAAATGCATGTGAGAGAGAGAGACAGAGACAGAGAGAGAGTCAGAGAGAGTATGTGTGTGTTTATGCACATAGGTGTATGGTCTGTATGCTTAGCCTGAGTTGTACAAAGTATCTCTGGATTGTGTACATGTCTCCCTGTGTTGTATATACTGCTAGGGAGGTTGGGTGTGTGTGTGTCTGGATATCCTTTTGTGTGTGGTACTAGGGACTGAACCCAGGGCTTTCTCACTGAATTACACCCCAAGTCCCTTTTTAAATTTTCATTTGGAGATAGGGGTCCCACTAAGTCACTAAGTTACACAGGGTGGACTCAAACTTGCAGTTCTTCTGCATCAGCCTCGAAGAATGCTGAGATTGCAGGCATGTGCCACAACACCCAGCTACATATACTTCTTGTGTGCCCAGGAGTGTTGCAAGTGTCTGTGAGTTTGGTATGTGTGCAGCTGTATTGTGTGTGGCCTGTAGATTTGTGTGTGCCTCTGTATTGCCACATGGGTAAATCCTTGTATTGTGTGTGTCCCTCTGTTATGTGAGTTTGGGTAGGGGCAGGGAGCCAGACTTCAGGCTTTGTGTGTCACTGAGAGTGTGGAGTGTGTGCTGCCCAGGAACTCTGGCTGCTGTGCACACCATGGGCACCTGGCTGGCTCAGTGTCCACATAGGAATGACTGTGTGGGTCTCTATTCACCCCTAAGAGCTAGTTGTGCTTGGAGCCTGTGTTGATTGTCTGTCTCAACACTCGTGGGCTGGGTAGACCTGACGGTTTATGTCTCTTAAGTCACGCACACATAAGGCTTGGGCTTGGCTGAGAGGTCCAGTTGGTATGTACTAACCATCACTACACCCCCATACACACACACTCATTCTGCTATGGTCCATTCATTGTAAAAACAAACTTTCCCTTTTCTGGAAGTCTCCCACCCTTTTATCATGCCTATGCCTGGAAAAGCAGTGACAGGAAGTATGGACTGGGGTGGGGGTGGGGCAGGCAGGAAGGCAGGCAGGCAGGGCTGTAGATTTGATTCTCAGCTTAGAGATGCTGTGTGACTCCTAGGTGGTGTCTGCCTGTCTCTGACCTACTGTTTCTGCAAAATGGCTCGTAGTGTGGCTCACATTACATGGGATTGTTGAGCACTATTCCACACTACTTGGTGGTCAGCACTCCTATCCTGACCATGCTTTTTCTGCCTTTCCCCTACCAGCTCAGCAGCACAACATACCCCGTGGTTGTGAAGATGGGGCATGCACACTCTGGAATGGGCAAGGTGAGTCACCAGCCAGAGTGTGTGCGTGTGCATGTGTTTGTATAGTGCACACTTGGGGCACTGTGTGTATGTTGATACATGGATATTTGTGTATTCAGTGCACACCAGTAATTCTGTTTCGTGGTATGTCCTAGGATGTCTATTTGGATTTTTGTTTTCTCATATTCAGCTAATTTTTCCAGCCTGTTTTTCTATTGTGTATTCAGGCAATTTTATATCCTGTTACTGTGCTAATGTATCCAGCATTGTGTCTGTGGGTGTATGTGTGCTTCTGTGCCGAACACGCATCATATCATCTTTTACATTCCAGGATCTTGGAGTCCAGTATGCTGATTTTGTCTGTATGTATGTAGAAAGCAG